TCTGTTAGGTCTATACCATTTCTGTCCTTTATTGAGCTCATCTTTGCATGAAATGTTCCCTTGGTATCTTTAATTTTCTTGAAGAGATCACTAGATCACCTGAAACTAACACATTTTAAATCAACTATACACCAGTTCCATGAATAGAGGTGCCTTGTGAGCTAGAGTTTATGTGGTCAAAAAGAGTCAGACATGACTGAGCGACTGAAGAGCAGATACACCAATAAATCTTTTTTTAAAAGACTGAAAGTTATGCAAACTGTAGTCCACAAGTGAATTACTGGAGTTAGTTTCACACTGAGAAAGGGAGACTCCATGAATGAGAGAATTAATTTTAAATAAAATTACTTTATTTAAAAAAAAAAATTAACACATACAGTGATGTCAGCAAAATGGTGAGCTGGAAAGTGCTGAATTTTCCCATGGAAAGGTAAGAAAAGAAACAAAAGCTATGTGAAAAATCTCTTAGGAACTTTGGGAAAGAATCAAGCAAATATCTTCAGAAATAAAGTGAACATGTAATTAAGAGAAATCCGGAAAAGAGTGGAAGGATAATTTCTCGCATTTTTCTTTAAAAATATTTTTTAGTTCTTTTAATTGGAGAATAATTGCTTTACAATGTTGTGTGAATCAGTTGTAAGTGTACATATATCCCTTCCCTCTTGAGCTTTCCTCCCACACCCTTATCCCACCCTCTAGGTCATCACAGAGCACTGAGCTGAGCTCTCTGTGCTATTCAGCAGCTTCCCACTAGCTATTTTACACGTGGTAGTGTATATATGTCAATGCTACTCTCAATTCATCCTGCCACCTCTTCCCCCAAGGTGTCCACAGGTGTATTTTCTAAGTCTGCGTCTCTATTCTATGATTTTCTTGTGTTTTAATTCACACTCATCTCTCCCCTGACTTGTACAGTGGAGTCTTGATCTGTAAAGGGCGGCAGCTCAGCTCTCTGCTGCCTCCCTCAAACCAGAGTGATCGCAGAAATCCTTATGTGCAATGTTCCAACCTATGTAGGAGCTGCCTGGAGACTGGTGTCTGTTCCACTTAACTCTGAGCTTAATGTGAAGAGCACCTGGAATGGCTATTACAAGTACAGAATTCTGCCTTTAGAATTTTCTATTTTTAACTTTTGCCATTTTAATTACGATGTGTCTTGGTGTGGGCCTCTTTGGTTTCATCTTTCTTGGGATCCTCTGTTCTTCCTACACCTGGATATCTTTTACCCTTCTCAGGTTTGGAGATCTTTCTACCATAATTTCATCAAATATGTTTGCTGCATCTGTCTTTTTTTCTCTTTCTAAGACCTCTATAATGCAAATGCTAGTGCACTTGATGTTATCCTAGAGATCCCTTAAGTTATTCTCATGAAAAAATTTTTATTCTTTATTGCTGTTCTTATTGAGTGATTTCCACTATTTCTGTCTCACAGGTTGCTAATGCATTCTCCTGTATCACCTAACCTCTTGCTGATTCCCTTCTGGTGTATATTACATTTGTTACTATGTTCTTCAGCTCTGATCAAGTCTTTTTAATATTTTCTAGTTCTTTGAAGTTCTCATTATATTTCTCTATTACACACATTCAGTAGGCACCTTTATTACTATTGTTTTGAGTTTTCTTCAGGTAAAGTATTTATCTCTCTTTCAATAGGTTAGTTTGGGTTTTTTTTATAATGAGGTTTTATCTTGGTCTTTCACTTGGGATGTGTGTGTGTGTTTCTTCTAATCTGTTTAGTCTTTACTGTTTGTCTCTATGAGGTTAAGCAGTTACCTAGTCCTGGGCTTCCCTTGTAGCTCTGTAAGTAAAGAATCTGCCTGCAGTGCAGGAGACCCAGGTTCGATCCCTGGGTTGAGAAGATTCCTTGGAGAAGCAAATGGCGAACCACTCCAGTTTCATTGCCTGGAAAATCTCATGGACAAAGGAGCCTGGTGGGCTGCAGTCCATGGGGTCGCAAAGAGTTGGTCATGATTGAGCAACTAACACTTACTTACTTAGTCCAAAGTCTAAAGGCGTGTCTCTTGTGTGGGACACCCCACCCAGGGTGTCTCTGCATGGCCTGCCAGTGACAAGTGACTTTGGTGAGTGAGCAGGATTGGAGGCCATGTCTCCCCAAGGTGAGCTGGCAGCTGCTATTCCCATGGGAGATAGGACTGTAATCAGGATGAGACAAGGATGAGCTGAGGCTTCTTCTGGGCTTAACGGTGACTGGTGACCTGTTGGGGGCAGGACTGGGGCTGGAGACACACTTCTGAGTTGGCCCCACTTTCCCCAGTGCCTGTGATGGCTGATGGCCTCTCCCCCTCAGTAGGCATCAGTGCCAAGCAAGAGTGGCTGGAGGGGGATGGCCTGGACTGAGGTGGTCCTCCAGGCTGGTCGGAGCATCGAGCAGTGCCAGTCAGCTGCCCCATGGACTTGAAAGCAGTCACGTGTGCACATGCTCTTGCAAAGTGGAGTCTTGGCTCCTTGCATCCTTTGGTAAAGCCCCACAAGGTTTCAAATGAGTTGAGGGGGCTCATCTTCTGAGGACCAGTCCTCAGACCTGGGGCGCCTAACATGGGTCTTATACCCCTTGATCTTTAAGGATAGTCTCTGAGCCTGTTGGTACTTCTCCTCTTCTGTGTCACCTGCTAGGGGTGTGGGTCCTGACTAGATTTCTTCTTCTACCTGCCAGTTATACTCAGTGAGGTTCTTTCTTGATGGCCTCAGGTGTAGAAGAGCCACTACTCTTCTGCTACTCTTCAAATTTTTTGCAGCAAGAGTTACTCTATATATAGTGGTATTTTTTTTTCTTTTTTTGTTGCACAGCTCAGCTTGGGGAATCTAGTTAAACAGCCAGGGATCAAATCTATGCCCCCTGCAGTGGAAGCATGGATTCTTAACCCCTGGACCACCAGGGAAGTCTCCAACTCTGCCTTTTAATCCCCTCCCAAGTATCCTCATTTTGAAGTCTTTATTATTTCACATACACAAAAAGCAAGAAGCCTTAAACTAGAGACACAGCTTTTAATTAGCTCCACCAATCATAACAATTCTCTCCACACCCCAATAATCAGTAAATTCTGATAGAACCATGATGGATTGCTCACAATCAGTATTCTTCAGAAAATGGATAGTCAGGGTGATCAGCAAGGCTGAAAGAGAAAGAGGGATGTTAATTTATTAATTCTGTATCACATGGCCAAGGAGAGTGCTTCTCTGTGGATATAGCCAGGATGGCCTAAACATCTCAGTCTACAACCACATCCCACCTTCTACCCCAGGCACCCAGTCCACGTGTGAATGGTGCCTGCATGCCTGATTCTCACAGTCACAAGCAATACAAACATCACAGTGATATTTACCTTGATTGGAATTACAGTTTGTAAGAAGGTCTGAGAACTACAGCTAAAACATTAAGGTCATTTCAGCCCCAGGTGGAACATTTGGTCCTGGGTGTGATGATGATGATCTCAGTAACAACTGTGCAGATCTTTTTAACACATCCATTCAACAAGTAAGTACTGAGAACCCCCCAAAATAGAGGGCATTCCATTAAGACACTTCTGATCTCTTGAGATGTCGTGGACACATAAGCAACAATACTGATAAAGTGAGATGACTATTTTCTTAATTTACAACAGATTAAAACAGTGGTTAATTAATAGTTAGTATTACTGATGCTTTCCTTTTCCCCTATGTTTTTACTTTTCTTCCTAAATTCATTCCTTTCCATTTATTTCATTAAAGAGTACATTCTGAGTGATTCCATATGCCAAGAGTTATGATTTTGACCTAAACCCGTTAACATGAGTAAGTCCAGGCACTGACAGCCTGAGGAAGGTGAACAGAGAAGTATACTGAAAAGTTTTTGAGTACAGAAAAGTAAATTTCCATCTTTTTGTTTTATTTGTAATATCTTTTTTTCAGAATCATGATATAGCTTTAGAAACAGGAGACAAAGTTTTGACATCTTTCATTTAAAACTAAATCTTCCCTTTACTAATAATTTGCATTCCCTTCTCTCTGAACTCTCTTCTAATTTCTCTGTTTGATTAGCCTTCTTTCTCTTCAATCCTGACATCCTCCTGCAGTAATTAGGCAGCTGGAATTTCATGTTAGTGACTAAGTCAAAGTCAAGGAGTTAGGGGTTCCCTAGGGGATGACCCCTGATGAACAAAGGCAACACTGGAGTAAGTCTTGACTCAAGAAACCAGAGAGACCCAGAAGATCTTACCTGGGTGTGTCCTGCTAAGGACATGGCCATCACTCACTGGAGGATAAGTTAAACTCATGATCTCCTTGTAACTCAGTTTTGTGAGATTATAAGGATGAGGACATGGGATTTGTAATAGGGGGAAAAGGTCAATGAAGAGATCTATTTGAAAGAAATGGATGGTGTCTGGTTAAGAAAGGCCCATTAGGGAGAAAATTCACCGGACACTTAGGGAAGGGGGTGGAGGCCGGGCCATGTGATCTCTCAGTACTGATGCATTTTGCCTTTCATGAGACTTTCCTCCATAAAAAATATCAACAACATATTTTACAATTGTGTTAGGATAAACACAAATGTAGTCCAAGTTGGATTCATTATTACATAGTCATTATTAATCATTTCCTCCCAATTTTATAAAAAGTTTAAAGATAAAATATGTTCACAGGTCCCTAAAAGAATAGTGGGCTGCAGCCACTGTCCCCTTTGTGTCTACTGGATTCCTGGGCCCTGAGAGGAGGTACATCAGGCACAGGGATTAGGAGCACAAACTAGTGAATTCACCACCATGTCAAATCTAGGGATTTTACCTATGGGCTGTTCTGGGGCCCAGTCACATTTCTGTTGGTCAGAGATGGAGCCCTGAAGGAAACCTTTGGTCTGAGGTCTGCAGGAAGCCTCAGTTTTACAGCTACTCTGGAAACCAGGACTGTCTTCTGAGAATTAAGCTTTTAAAAAGCTTAGTTCCCCTGCTGACCTGCCTGCTACAGAAAGCAGTGTATGTGTGAAATATACACAAGTCACTTACAAGACTAAATCATAATATCGTATGTTACTGTTGAGGCCATCAATTGCTTTCATGTCTTCTGGAGTCAATTCAAAGTCAAGAACCTGCAATAAAGGAAGAATCACAATGACTTCTCTCCCAAGGAGCTGGCCTCCCCCTGGGGACTGGAGGACTTTCCAACTGGATGGAGACAAGACGAGGAGACAGGGAAGCCATGTCTGTCTTCAGCTTCCAGGTGGGACCCTCTGAATAGTTCTCACTTCTCCTTTCTATACCCTCTACTTTTCTGCTCCAGTTCTCAGACAGACACACACACACAGGTTGCAAGGCATCAATCCCTTATCTTTCTATGTGAATTTCTTTTGACAGAAGACAAGCAAACAAAAATCAACTTTTTTGCAAACAAAGGCACTGTTGGACAACCTGGACAAAATACGTGCACTTGACCGAACACTAGACTGTTTTTTACCTTCTCAACATCCCCTAAAATATGACACAGCATAGAGCTTAAACAAGTATGGAAACGAGGATCCCCCTGTGAAAACCTAATCAAGAATCTGATAACAAACTTACTCATTACCTATGAATAAATCTAAGGTATTGATTATGTATATGTCTCTGTGAGAAAGTTGTGAAATGCATTTCAAATATTAAAGGATACTTAAATAATTAGAAATGCATATCATAGTCACAAAATGGAAATGTCAATTTTGTATAGAAATCAGTTTTCTCCAAAGTGAGAAGTGCAATGTGAACCAAAGTCTTAAATAGTTATTCGTTTGTGGAAGTGGGTAGATTGGTACTAAATTTTATGTAAAAGGACAGCTAGTCAGGAGCAGTGAAGACATACTTAAAGGAAAAAAAAATAATGTTATTTAAAGTAAGATTATTTTCCACTATAATAAAGTAGTACAGAGAAGTAAATAGTTAAATAGAACAGAGAGAGGCCAGAAATGTACTTATGGACATTTGATAAATGACAGAGTTGACAGTGAAAATCTGTGGGAAAATATGGACAGATTTCTGTTTAACTATATGTATATACCTTTTCATGTCATATTCAAAAATCAGTTTAAGTGTGATACAGATTGAGATTTGAGTGGAAACAAAAAGCCAGTTTATCAGGGAACATTTCCCTTACCCTTGACTCAGTTTGACCTGTAACTTCCACTGGACAGTGATATTTCCCAGAAGTGGTGAGTCAGATCTGAGCCCAGACGGGAAGAGGATTTTTCCCCACTCACTTACTGGGGTTAATAACGCTGTGATGAGATAAAGACCAAGTAGATTGACAACAGTCTAGCCAAATATATACGAAAAAATATACAGAGAAGCATGCAGTCTCATGTGACAATAGCCTCATCCACCTGCTAAAGCAGAACTGCTGAGCTGCTCTGCACTGAACTACAAATGCCCAAAAGAGCTCAGCCAAAAAGACAACAGCTTAGCTGAGTGCAGGTTGATTGTGAAACCACAGAATCAAGAGACGCATAAACGATCTCTGCCTTGAACCCCTAAATGGGGGAGATTTCCTGTACAGCTATGGCTAATTATATAATATAAAAATAAAAAGATGTACAATCTAATAAAACTGTACAAAATCATGAATAGGAACTTTACAAAGGCAGAAACTGAAATGCATGAAAATGAAACTACATTAATATTCAGAGAAGTATAAAATAAAACCATGATGAGCTGGTTCAGGATGACTGCTCTCACTCGAGTGTCCCCAAATTTACATGTTGTTAACCTTACCCCCACTGTGATGGTGCTAGAAATGGAGCTTTTGAGGGGTGATTAGATCATGATAGTGGAGTGTTTACGAACGAGAGTTGAACAGTATCATATTCATATAAGAGACTTGAGAGAGCTCTGTTGCCCCCTCCACCGTGTTAAGATACAAGGAGAAGCCTGTGACCTGGAGGAGAGCCCTCACCTGATCACCCAGGCACCCTGACTCCAGTCTTTCAGCTTTAGAACCGTGAGGAATAAATTTCAATTTTTTTTTCTAAGCCACTCAATCTGTAGTATTTTGTTAGAGCAGCCTAAACAGTTTAAGAAAATCACATAATGCAATTTTGTCAATTAAAAACAAAGAAAATAAGATGTCATTTGCACGAGGTGACAGAATAAGTTGCAGATGTAATGTTGGATCTAAAATCTCTATTTTCTGTCCAACCTTAACCCTCTCTAGCCACGCCACCTCTCCTGTTGCCACATCAGGAGGAGAAAAACACTGGAAATACACACAAGGCATTCATGCACAGGAAAGAACAGGTAACTCATTTTGACTCAAAAATAGTCTGACAGCTGGACAAAAATGACTCTTGTGAAGGATATTCCTTAGGAGCCCTCTGCCCACAGCCCCACTCATCACCTGCATGTTCTCTTTGATCCGCTTCCTGTTGTAACTCTTTGCTAGAACCACAACCCCACGTTGTATCTGGTAGCGAAGGGCAACCAGAGCTGGGGTTTGCTTGTGCTTTTTGGCAATGGCACAAAGAACCGGGTCCTCCAAAAGAATAGGGTAGTTCGGGTTCACCCTGGAAAGAAATTAAGAAATCCTGAGGAGCTGAGAGTGAGTACTCAGTTTCTAAGAGGTTTCTCAAACAGAACAAGTAGGTCCACTCTAGACCAGTGCTTCTCAAAGTGTGGTCCAGGGACCAGCAGCATCAGTTTCACCTGGAGTCTTGTTAGAAATACAAATCCCATGGCTTAACTGAAGACAAACTGAATCAGAAACTTGACTCTGTCACCTCCCAATCTGTGTTTACAAGGCTCTCCTGGTCACCTGGGTGTATGCTGAGTTGAGATCAATGCTTCCACAGCTGTGGTTTTGTTCTTGTACATCTCAGGGGTTGTTTTTCCTCTCCAATCATAGCCCCAAAGTGCAAGAGCATAAAAGGAGAAGGAAAAGACTGGGATACTTTTTAGTTTAACTTTCTCAATATTGATAAAAATTGAGTAGTCTCATAGTAACTATTCTTTTCATCACTATTTACAGTGTGCAGTACTTGTATAGATGTTTACAAAAATGGTTCAAACTGTAATTTTTTTTGATCATCATTGACTTGGGAGGTTTATTATCCTGACTTTAGATATAAGGTAAGGGAAGCTCAGAGAGTCTTTTACTAGCAATGTGTTCATTAGTTAATAAGTAAGTGAATCATGACTTAAGCTTATGTCTTAGATCTCAACTGGGGGATTATATATAGATTTTAATGCAGTCACTTGTTATTGATTAATCTACAACAAAACACATATAATGTGAAAAATAATTGGCTGAGTGGTGAGAAGACAAAAGAGAAGGCTCTTTCATTTCCTCTCTCTACCCCCTGCCAGTTGAGAGCACTTAGTACAACATAACAAAACATATTTCATGAAAAATTGAATTTTAGGTAAACTCTCTGTTGTCTTCATTAGCATTCCTTACCAATTTTTCAATCGTTGGGATCCCAGAGCACCATAGGCAACAAGAACAATATCATGTGACTTGCAGAACTCCAACAGTTTGTTCTGATTGAGATAAGGGTGACATTCCACCTATAGAATGTCAACATAGAAGAGTGTCAGGTTATATAGGAAGGTGATATCAACATGACAGAGAAAGGCAAAAAGTTTAAAACATCTAAAGAAAAAATAAACTATGGAACACTAAATTGGAACTGAAAATATCAATATCAAGTAATTTTTTAAAGAAATACATATTATATCTCTATTCCCCAAAACAGAAAAAGTAACATTCCTGAGAACAAACAACTCTAGGGACCAGAACTCAGTTACTAAATACACTACCAGGGGACACACCTAACTCCAGATCTGAGACAAGAAAACAACTGTTTGAGTCTGGAACATCAAGTCTTGCAAAATGCAAGAATTTGCTCCAACATACATGTCTGCAGGACAAAAGAACCAGATTGATGGGTTCTCATGGTAACATCTGAGTAGATTTTAACACCAAAGGGAATCATGAATGAGAGCAAATGTAGCACACAAAGTCAACAAAAATCCCTGAGAGAGAGAGAGAAAAAGAGCAAAAATGTTTCCCTCTACGGGTGATTATTATGAAAACTCCTTTCTCAGAAACTGACAGTTAAAGGGAAGAAGGGAAGTTTTCACCTTGCCTTATAGGAATAGGTGTATTTTATCCTGACTTAATGAGGGGATTCTATTTTTACAATAAAATGTCAGGTAAGAAGATTAAAAAGTGCTTACATTGAAAATATTGAAAACTGTCCCAATGAAATAATTAATTCAGGTGAACATTACTGATGGATTTTCAACCATTATATGAAAATTTTGGGGAAAATGAACTTCCTCTGATGACAATTATTATCTAGTAGATGATTAGGTAATTTCAACATGGGATATATGCATTTCCAAATTAAAAATCTAGCTGCCAGTAACTTTACTAGGAGAACAAAAATGCCATCATCACAGTGGGACAGCCGATGATCATGTGCTTCCTACTGGGTGCCAACTGAGGGGCACAGCATGCAAAGGACACAGTCCCAAAATATATAAATTTATGAGCATGAGTAAGGAGTTCAGATCTATCTGTTTACAGGAATTGAGAAGCAAATTAATAATACAAGATGATAGTCTGATAAATCTATTATATTTGTTGAAAAACTGTTTGGATATCATGGTTAAAAAATATAATTGAATGACCATGACAGTTTAAAAGAGCTTGATATACATGACTCAAAGTGACATGTGAGCCACAATGAGATCAGTTCCACCTAATATTACACATGTAAATATATATATATATACACACACCCACATACACATTTGCCAATGTGGCAAAATGTGAAACATTTTGCATACAAGAGGGAAAATACGGGTGTCCTTGATCGTACCCTTAACTTTTCTAATATCTGAAAATTTTCACAATGAAAATTTGGAGGCAAAATTAATGCTAAAGTCTCAATAGTTTTGAAGCATTTTTAATTAAGAATATTGATTATACATATATGCTGTGCTGTGCTTAGCTTGCGAACCCATGGACTGTAACTTGCCAGGATCCTCTGTCCATGGGGATTCTCCAGACAAGAATACTGGAGTGGGTTTCCATGCCCTCCTCCAGGGGTTCTTCCCAACCCAGGGATCAAACCTGGGTCTCCCACACTGCAGGCAGATTCTTTACCATCTGAGCCACTAGGGAAGCCCAAGAATATTGGAGTGGGTAGCCTATCCCCTTCTCCAGGGGATCTTTCCTACCCAGGAATCAAACCAGTGTCTCCTGCTTTGCCAGGAGGATTCTTTACCAACTGAGCTACTAGGGAAACCTAGTGTGTATATATATATATATATATATATACACACACGTTTCCTGAGTTTTACAAGCTACATTTTCTGTAGAAGACTCTTACTCCTTGACTTCAGGTTGTATCTTATAGACACTGTTGCTGTTGTTTAGTCATTAAGTCATGTTTGATTCTTTAGTGGCCCCATGGACTTCCCAGGCAAGAATACTGGAGTGGGTTGCCATTTCCTTCTCCAGGGCATATTACTAATCCAGGGATTGAACCACAGTCTCCTGCGTTGGCAGGCAGATTCTTTACAGTGCACCACCAGGGGAGCTTGTGGACATTACTTTATATGAAATACAACAGTTGCAGAAAGACAGATGTTAATACCTAAATTGGTCAAACTCACAAAATTAAAGAGTAATGTGATGGTCACCATGGGGAGGTGAGGGGGGGGGGGAGTAGGGAGAGATCAGTATTTCTTATTCATAGGTACAAAGTCTCAATTATACAAGATGAATATATTCTAGAGACTTACTGTACAGCCTTGTCCCTATGCTTAAAATTATTGTATTATACAATACAATATAATGAGGTTAAAGTACATTGTATTGTGCAGTGTTATATACTTAAAATGTTTTTAAATGAATCATATTAACTTCTCTTACAGCAATAAAGTAAAAATATAACAAAAATATATGAGTACAGAATCAAAGAAAAAAATATTTAAACAGTTAATTTTATGATAGACATCAATGGGAGAAAAAGATCAAGACTGAGTAAATCACAGGGTGTGCTCTAGTTCCTGACTATTTCATCTACTGTTAGTATTGCTGTAAGATGCTGATTTCACTCTATAACCTGAATGATTTTCATAACCTCCAGTAAATTTTTCTATACTATGCTTTCTGTTGAAGACCTGTAAGCACAGAGACACTAAGACTAAGGATTTGGGTATCCAAACCCCACACAAACTCTTAACACTTGTCTCAGTTGATTTATCTCTATTTACTTCCTATTCTATGTTTTAATGGTCTTTCTTCTGTACACAGTTCCCTCTGAGGAACTTTTACCATCTGATTTCTGGAGATCCTTTCAGCTCAGGGAAACACCTCCTCCCTCTAAGTTCTGGGGGACTAGTCTAACCCACTTCACCTCCAGTACCTTCCCTCAGTGCTCACCACACTTTAGCAGGAAGCCATCCCCAGATTTTCCACCCAGACTTTATCAGACAGAGATACCTTTTTGGGTTCTATTCACACCATCCAGACAGAGGCTCTGGTCTCTAGAATCATCTGTCCACAAAGGTTGGATGAACAGGAGGGGAGGACAGACAGACATCAGGCCAAGAAGGAGGTTCTGAAGAGCAGGAGGGAGAGGAGACTCACCTGGTTGCAGACGGGCTTGTACTTGAGCCCCGGCTTGTTCAGGATCTTCTCCAGCTGCTTGTGGTTGAAGTTGGACACCCCGATGGACTTAGTCAGCCCTGCATCTTTACAAGTCTCCAGGGCCTGGGGAGTGGGGGTGGTGAGCAGTCATTTCAAATGAGTGATAGATCAAGAATAAATGCTCAAAAAAAATCTGTAAAAAATGTCTCATGTCAAGAATTGACATTGATTTTAAGAAAGAAAAAAGGAGAAGAAGGTCATGACACAAGAAGAATTAACCATCTCCTCCTTAGAAAACCCTGCAGAAGACATATCACATGGAAGGAAATAGATGCCTGGCTTCACCATCCCAGATTCTGTCCTTTCCTGTGAACATTTCAGTAATGGTTTTCTCCCCACAACCCCAACATCCCAGTCCTTAGATTCATGAACTGCTGAGTCTGATAGTCCACAGCCCATTCTCACAGGTGGAAGAAAGAAAAGAGGTTCCCAGTCTCCTGGGTCCTCCCCTGGTTTTCTCCTTCCTGGACTCACCTCCCATGTGCGGCAGAAATCTACAGAGTCATATATCACTTTTCCATTTTCATCTTTTGGAAAAAGCTCCTCTCCTGGCTGGAATAGAAGCCGTAATTTTAGAGAAGTCACAAAATAATTTCTCCATTTAGTCAGCCTGTCAGGCACATCTAGGACCAGGACATTAACCTCCATAAGATAGGTTTACAACATTACAGATCTCTTCCACTTACCATATGTTTTAATAAATAGAATTTTCCTAGGTCCTAAAGGGGACTCATTGTTACTGATGTAAAGAATGGCAATGTTACATGGCTTTATTTCCAGAATAAAAATTGCAATCTTGACTTAGATGTGATAGAGTTTCTTTTCTCTCTGAGAATCTGATAGCCCTAGGGCAGACACATGAACCAACAAGACTCTCCTTAGGTTGATATGGGATGTGAAAGATCCAGACATGCTCTCAAATGTTCATGACCATGAGCCTTAAACAAATCAAGGTTAATTTACCACTGATGGAAAATATTGATATAAAAATAAAGCCAACCAAGAGTAATGGAAAGTTAAGTGGTAGGGGGAGAAAGGAGACACTTCTGAAGAGTACTACAAATCCTTAAATCTTCCATACCTGGGCCTTGCCATCTACATAAACCAATAAAATCTTCTGCATAGGATGACTTAGCTTGAGTTGATTTCTGCAACTTAAAATCAACCTAGAACTCTGGGACAATCTAGAAGGATAGGTTGGGGAGGGAGGTGGGAGGGGGGTTCAGAATGAGAGGAACACATGTATACCTTTGGCCTATTCATGTTTATGTATGACAAAACCATCACAATATTGTAAAGTAATTAACCTCCAATTAAAATAAATAAATATTTTTTTAAAAAGCAGTTCTAAGTAATAGTTCTTAATGGCTAAGTGCAGCCCACAGACCTCATCATGAAGACAGGCAACAGTGTAGGCAAGGTCTCCTAAATCCCAATAAAGGTTTAGACTCACCTAGAGAGAGCACCATCAAAACTGCTCAACTTGAAAGGGTGAAAGATGAGATAAACTCATCTTGTTCAAGTGTAAGGCAGTGTCATGCTCACCACGGCTGCACCAAACTCTGTGTTCTTAAAATCCCCAAGGGACTCAAGAGTCATACTCAGTACTGTGTACAGAACTCACCTATTTCTATTCCCTCAAGTTTTTGAGCAGAGAACATGAGATTGTTGAGCTTTTTTCTCTGGGAGGAATGACAAATTAAAAATGTAAAAAAAACTCAATAAAAAGTTAATCATAAATGATTGTTTGGGAATTCTACTCTCGTGAAGAGTGTATCTATCCTACTATGAAAAATCTGAAGTCAACCATCCATGCAGGTTGATAGACATTCTGACACAAGAATTAAAATAGTTGTAATCATACAAATACAAATTGCCAACCTTCAGAGCCAGTGGAAAATGAATAATGTAGAGATCGACATAGTCCAGTTGAAGATTTTTCAGTGACTTTTCCAAGGCTGGTCGGACCAACTCTGGTTGAAGGAAAGTGGACCAAAGCTGCAGAGATTAAAGAAAGGGAGCTGCATGAAATTAACATTGTAGGTAACTTTGTTTTTATGCTTTCATCTAAAAATCAGAGATTTTTCCTGATTAGAAATGGATGATCACAGAGGAAAACCACCCTGTTTCTTTTTCAGTTCCATTTTTTATCTAACCAACCCATGTAAACTTTGTTATTTGATGGAATTTATCACTAGTACATAATTCACAATGGAAGAAAATGATCCAAGAAATAAAAAGTATTATCAAATAGCTAATATACCCATCATCTGAATTATGTTTAATAAAGTTTAAAAGCAGTCCACAAAGTCAATCTAATTCTATTAAATAATCAATCTTCTTAGGAGTAATTAGAATCTTTTTGTTTATGTAACTTTAGGAAGTGTTTTGAACATATTATTATGTGCAGAACATAATTCAAGACATTTGGTTAAATCTTACATAATAAAAAACAGTGTCTCCTATTTCCACCTCTTAGATGGAAGTAAGAACTGAGATTTAGAATTTGAAGAAAATTTAGAAAGTTCCCTAGATGATAAGAAAAGCTATAATCTAATTATTTCTGTCTGATTCATTAGCCCATACTAAATCACACTGCTCTGGTCTAGGCTCAGAAAAATAAAGTGACTTTAATTTAAAATTAAAATTTGAACCAATGATGAGAAAGCCATCATCACTCTCACTTTCTTTTTGGATACCAGATTTAATACACAAATATGTGTGAAAAAAGTTGTACCAATAAGTAGTGTTCACCAACCAGCTATTGATCTGACTACATAATTATTACCTGCACACCATGACTTGCATACATGTGCACACACAAACACACAGCACCTTTGAAGTGTAGAATATATCTTCTCTCTTCACAGTGCCATCTGCAATCTTGCTCCGAATGGCTTGTCCAACTTGCCCTTCATTTTGGTACAAATGAGCACAGTCAATATGGCGGAACCCAACCTCTATAGCCAATTGAGTGACTTCCAGAGCTTCACTCTTAGGAACCTACATAAGCAACAAAGGTGGTAGTTGAATATTTACATGATAAAGAAACTGCTGATGTACAAGCTTTGATTTTTCCCAAGAAAAAGAAACAAACAAAAGCTTTAATGTTTCTTTGTGTTTTTGTTAGTTCTGCATGTGTGGTGTTGAACCCATGATGGTTTACCTGAAATTTCCTGTAAAGTTATTAAATGAATACCCAGGAAGTCTTCAATCCCAGGTGATCAGTGGTTGATCAAAGGCATCAGAGGACCCAAAGTCCACCTCCAGGTTCAGTGATGTGCTGGAGGAACTCATAAAAGTGAAAAAAGTGAATGTGTTAGTTGTTCAGTTGTGTCCAACTCTTTGCGACTTCATGCATGGACTGTAGTCCACTAGGCTCCTCTGTCAATGGAACTCTCCAGGCAAGGAAGATCCCCTTCTCCAGGGGATCCAGATATCTCCTGTGTCTCCTGAATTGCAAGTGATTCTTTACCATCTGAGCCATGGATATTATTTATACAGTGAGATATTTTAAGCAAAGTCAATAAGGGTAAAGGTTCATGATACAAAGCACCAAGAAACAAGGTGAAATCTTCCAAGAGTGCTCTACCAATGTAGTCAAGCAGAATACACAAAATAAAAACTATACCTATTCAAAGTGTACTAAGTGATTTTTTTAAAATGCCTATCCTGGTGGCTCAGATGGAAAAGAATCCGCCTGCAATGCAGGAGATGTGGGTTTGATCTCTGGGTCAGGAACATCCCTTAGAGAAGGGGATGGCAACCCACTCAAGTATTTATGTCTGGAAAATCCTATGGAGAGAGGAGCCTAGCAGGTTATAGTCCTTGGGTTCACAAAGAGTTGGACACAACTGATGGACTACCACTTTTGCTTTCTTTCCCTGTATGATGAATATCACAACCAAGCTCGTTAACAGTTCCATCACCTCACATAGTTAACTTTTGTAAGTGTTTGTGAGACCTTTAAGGTCTACCCTCTTGGCAAATCTCAAGAATATAACCCATTATTATTAACAGTAGCCACTGTGCTGTACATCAGGTCTCCAGACTTATTTATCTTACAATTGAAGGCATTTGCCATTTGACCAGCATCTTTCCATTTTCCCCAACTTTATCCCCAGCTCCTGGTCACTGTGATTCTACTCTCTGCTTCTATGAGTTCAACTTTTTTTATAGATCGTACTCATAGAGAGATCATGCAGTGTTTGTTCTTTATGTCTGACTTATTTTACTCAGCTTAATGTTATCTAAGTTCATCCATGTGGTTGCAAATGATGGATAATTTCTTTTATAAGCCTGAATAATATTTTGCTTCTTTTTATGTGACTTGTAATCTTTTGTTTTTTCAAGGAGGTGCTTGTCTAACTTCCATCTGTTGGGTCTGGTTCTGGCTTTCCTTAAATGCAGGGTCATTCAGGGATGTGCTGAGGAATGAATTAGTGAGCTTCAGTAATAGCTGAACCCTTCCCTCTCCTCATCCTAGTTTGCACTACAAAGTCCTGACTTCTGTCTTCAAAATTTCTCTGAATATTTCCTTCTGTTTCATACATAAAAGAAGTGATATTCAAAGTTTAAGGGCCAGTCCCTTGTCATACAACTATTCAATACATATTCTAAAGACAAGATGGGTAGCAAATTTTCTGGATTCCAGTCTAGTAAATTATCCTCTTTGTCCCTGTTACACTCAAGCACTGAAGACCATAGTTAGATAAAAATATATTACAAAAGCCTTTGAAACCTTTCCCTGTAAGACTATAGCTTGTCTCCTCAAATGGCACTGAACTTTCCATTAGAAGTTTCCACACAGAAACAGAAGTACAGGGCAAAACACAGTTGAAGTGGTTCTTCCCTGTGACCTAGTAGGTATTCCACAGTAGAAAAGCAATTTTCTCCCATTAGTTTTCAGTCACTTCATCTTCAGGAAATTTTACCTCAAATACTTCTCTGGGTCATGTCTTTTTGGAAGGAGGAAACAGTTCTGGAATTAATGAAATATACAGAGAAACCTGGCCATTACAATCACACTCAAAGCAAAGCAGCTGACAGTCAGTGTTCTTGACTGCTGAGTCTCACCTCTTCTGCCAAGCTGGGAAAGAGAAGGAAACTGGAGGGGAACCCAGAGAAATCTGCAGGTGAGCACAGCCTCAGACCCTGATGCAGAGTGGAGACTGGATGCTCTCTCCCCTTTCACAGGGCGTGGTTCTAGCCTGGTTAGTGGAACCACGTGATCCTCCCAGAGTCACACAGGAGCTCAGTGCTTGACAACCCAAGTTCCTTACACTCATGTCACATCCATTACTATTTATGTCAACCCACAATCACTACTCTTACCTCCTCAGGTGCATAGGTTCCAAATCCCAGGATAGGAATGAAGTGGCCATCATTAAGCTTCACCCTCTGGTATTTGGGATTCATTGCCTATTGCTCCTCTGAGGAAGCAGACTCTGATTATTTTCTTCTGCCTTCACAGGTTATAATTAATAGGAAGGTAACGCCCCAGCTGCACTGTCCAGTGTTAGCAGATACACTGTAGGAGGAGCATGATTAAACCAATAGCCATGGAGTAAGAAATAAACAATGGGTATTAATTTAACTTGTTTGCTTTTATATCAGAATAATAGTCACATTATACAATGATATAAATCATTAATTTCTTGGAAAATTTTACTTTATTTTTTATAAATAAATTTTTAATTCTGGATCCACTTACATTATTGTAAATTATTTCATGGGATTTGCTGAATAATTATTAACCACAAAGACAGAAATATAGATTAATGGAACAGAATAGAAAGCCCAGAGATAAATCCATGAACCTATGGACACCTTATCTTCGACAAAGGAGGCAAGAATATGCAATGGAAAAAAGACAACCTCTTTAACAAGTGGTGCTGGGAAAACTGGTCAACCACTTGTAAGAGAATGAAACTAGAACACTTTCTAACACCATACACAAAAATAAACTTAAAATGGATTAAAGATCTAAATGTAAGACCAGAAACTATAAAACTCCTAGAGGAGAACATAGGCAAAACACTCTCTGACATAAATCACAGTAGACTAGAAATCACATGCCCCAATTTTTTTAATTTTTGAATTATGAAGCCCAATCTTGAGCAAACATCAATTGAAACAATTATCTATATTACAGTGCATACACACACATACTTATACACACAATCACAGAATTTAAAGTAATGACTATTAAGGATTTCTCAAAATGCTAACACTTAATAAAGAATGAAAACATCAAATGAATATAAATTTGCCTTTTTATATATCCTACCAGCAAAATTATTTTGCTTATAGATGGGGGTGAAATCCTGAAAATGATGTGAAAATCATACATTCTGGCAAAGGTCTTATTAGAGGTTAATTATTAATGGTTTTTACTGTGTGCAATGTTAACAGACTCTCTGTTCACATCTTTTAGCTAGTTTTGTTGTTCAGTTGCTCAGTCATGTCTGACTCTCCGACCCCACGGACTGTAGCACGTCAGGCCTCTCTGTCCTTCACCATCTCCCGGAGCTTGCTCAAATTCATGTCCATTGAGTTATTGATGTCATTCAACCATCTCTTCCTTTGTCATCCTGTTCTCCTCCTGCCTTCAATATTTCCCAGCATCAGGGTCTTTTCTAATGAGTCGGCTAGTTAGAGAACTTTTAAAATTGCCGTGACATAAATGATATTTTATATAATTTATTATCTTGCTCAACATTATTCATAAAAGGAACACCTGTAAACAAGTTAAATTATAATATATCTGGAAGAGTGAGGGAAATCATCAAACATTGCTACAATGGAATGTTGTGAAGCTGATTAAAATTTAACATGGAAAGTAAAGTTAGTTAAAGAGTGAGCTATGAACTGCTGGATTTTCACATGGAAGCATAAAGAAAATTAAAGAAACTAGATATAAACTAGCTATACAACCTCATAGGAGCCCTGGGAAACAGAGGAACACCTAGAGTGACAAATGAACCAGCTTCCCAGGTGATGGAGTGGTAAAGAATCTGCCTGCAATGCAGGAGAGACAGGTTCAATCCCTGGGTCAGGAAGATATACTGGAGAAGGAAATGAAAACCCATTCCAGTATTCTTGCCTGGGGAATTCTATGGACAGTGGAACCTGGCGGGCTAGTCCATAGGGTCTCAAAAGAGTCAGACATAACTTAGTGACTAAACAGCAACAACAACAAATGAACACCCAATTAAGAAAAATTCAGGACAGAATGGCAGGAAATTTCATCATGCGTTTACTCACCTGTACCCTCCTTCTGCTTGAGGAAACGCAGTCTCCCAGTTGCCTCCCTCAAACCAGAATGATCACAGAAAACCTTATCTGCAATGTTCCAACCTACTTGGGGGCTGCCTGGAGACTGGTGTCTGTTTCACTCAATATTCTAAGCTTAAACTGAAGAGCAGCTAGAGTATCTCATTACAGCTGCAGGGGGACTATACATATGTGGGGCCAGGGACAAAGGATAAGAGTGGAGACATAGACTAGACCATGTAAAACTCTGAGTAGAACTGGAGTGTGCATTTGGGGGATAGTAGGGCACTTCAGAAACAATCATAAATTCAGGAGAATAAAAAAGGTTCACATACGCCAGGCAAGATTATGACTCAGAAATGAACCAAGTTGTCCTCAGTATTCCTATGGGCTGATCCCAGGACTAGGAGTATGCCAAGCAAACTAGTGAAGGACTGTCAGGACATGAAGCAAATCTACCAGCAGTGAGTGCGTGCCTGTTGTTTCAAGTGCCCAACTATGAACACACGCAGGAACACACACGCAGGAACACACACACACAGGACAGAAAGAGAGAAAGAAAGGAAGGAGAAAGAAAGAAAAAAAGAAAGAGGAAACCATGGTCCAGGAAAGGAAGAAGATAAATTGGCACTGACTCTTCCTGAACAATCACAGGAGCCACACTGCGTGCACAGTGAATGTCACACATTGTCCTGGGGAGGAGCTCCAGGTGGGCAAGAGGGTGCTGAGCTCAGCTCTCCCAGGAGCACATCAGGGTCACATCTTCTGAAAACACACAACACCAGCAGGAAGCCTCGTCCACTCCAAGGCTGTACAGAACCGTCCCCATGGAGTTGGGTGGGAAGGGAAGAGAAGCCGTCAGATCAGGACTGAGCCCCCAGGAGGGCCCCAGGTGAGGACTGGGGACAGGGGCTTGGAGGTCCTCCCTGGAGAGACCCGTGCACACCACGCACTGGGCACCGCAGCCCTGGGATGACCCCAGGAGGTCTCAGCCCCGCAGCTGCTGTGAGCCCAGGGGGATCCGCAGGAGGCCCGGGGACCTGACTCCTCTCCTGAGACACATACCTGCTCCTGCTCCTGGAACAGGCTGAGGGGGCGGCAGGACATTGCCCAGGACTCGGACTGGTTTACTGGGCAACCCATGTGCCCCAAGCCCACAGATGCCCCCTCAGTGCCTCTGGATCCAGTTCATCTCCCCGTGATGCCCATGCTGGGCAGAGTGGGCAGTGCCCATACAAGGACACACCTGCAAGACACGGATGGATAACTAGTTTCGTAGAAATGGAGAAAGTTAGACAAATTGAAAAGACAGAGGAATTTGTTTCAAATGAAAGAATAAGAAAATAACACCTGCAAAATCAGCTAATAAAACAGATATATTGCTTACCAAAGTAATTTACCAGAATTCAAAGTGTAAGTAATACAAATGCTAGCTGAACTAGGGAAAAGAGTAAATGAACACAGTGAGACTGTTAACAAGTAACTAAAAAATATTTTTAAAAATAACCAGTCAAAACTGAATAATGCAATAACTCAGATTAAAAAAACACTCTAGAAGGAATTAATAGCAGATTAGGTGTTACAGAAAAATTCATAAGTGACCTGGAAGAGAGATTTATGTGAGTCAAGCATTAGCATTAATAACAGCAAAAAGGGAAACAAACTTTAAAAAAGAGAACCATTTAAAAAGCCTCTTGGACAACATCAAGTGTACTAACATCCTCATGATAAGAGTGCTAGAAGAAAGAGAGAGAGAAAGGGGCAGAAAAGCTATTTGATGAAATTATGGCTAAAAATATCCTGAACCGGCAGAAGGGAAAAGCTATACAGGTGCAAGATGCACAGAGAGCCCCAAGTAAGATAAAACCAAAGAGGCCCAGACCAAGACACATCAAAATTAAAAAGGCAGACGTTAAAGATAAAGAGAGGATTCTAAAGACAGCAAGGGGAAAATGATGAGTCACATACAAGGAAAAAGACATCAGGCTGTTGGTTGATTATTCTGCAGAAATTAGGCACAACAGTGTGGCATGATGTTTCTAAAGTGCTGAAAGGGAAAAACCTACAACCTAGGATACTAGGAAATAGATCCAATAATGTATAATAACCCTAAATGAAGTATAATCTATAAAATAACGAATCACTCAGTTGTACATCTGAAATAATATAATATTTTGTCAACTATATTCCAATGAAAAAGACAAGAATGTTTGCTTTCCTGATCATTAAAATCATACATGCTGCTAAGTCACTTCAGTCATGTCCAACTCTATGCGGCCCCATAGATGGCAGCCCATCAGGCTCCTGCAGCCCACCAGGCTCCCCCATCCCTGGGATTCTCCAGGCAAGAACAATGGAGTGGGCTGCCATTTCCTTCTCCAATGCATGAAAGTGAAAAGTGAAAGTGAAGTTGCTCAGTCATGTCCGGCTCTTCGTGATCCCATGGACTGCAGCCCACCAGGCTCCTCAGTCCATGGGATTTTCCAGGCAAGAGTACTGGAATGGGGTGCCATTGCCTTCTCCAAAATCATACATACAAATTACAGAATTTAGGGGCAGAAAGGAGAGGTTAGAGAATAAATATAACCTAATAAATAAATATAAATATAACAATTAGCCTGTTGTGCTTGTGCTTAGTCACTCAGTTGTGTCTAGCTCTTTACGACCCCATGGACAGTAGCCCACCAGGCTTCTCTGTTTTTGGGATTCTCCAGGCAAGAATACTGGAGTGGGTTGCCATACCCTTCTCCAGGGTATCTTCCCAACCCAGGGATAAAACCTGGGTCTCCTGCATTGCAGACATATTCCATAGCATCTGAGCTGCAAGGTAAGCCCAATTAGCCTGTTAGAAAATTTTTAACATTTGATACATTTTTTGGTCATGATTTTCCTTTACAAATGTGTGAATTTGTATTTTATTTACAAATCAGAAAATCTCCAACATGCAAATTGTATGCTTTCCTTTTGACTTAAGTATCTTCTGAAGCTATCAAATATTATTTTCAAAATTCAGTATTATATTTTGCTTGTTTTGAGTAGTGTATGGTCTTAATTTACTTCATTCCTTCATCATTTAAGTTTGCTTTAGCATTTAGATTAGTTCTTGCATATTTTGCCACTCATTCATAGATTCATACAGCAAA